GTCCCAGATTCATCCCTTTTCACTTGCTGCCCCTCATTCATGGAACCTCCTTCCCCTACGAGCATGGGGCATCACATCTTTAACCAGCTTCAAAGCTGAGTTAAAGACTATACTGTTCAGGGAAGCGTTCGCAGGCATTGCATGATGATTATTTGATGTTTTTAATTTGTTTCCTTCTTTGTATTAATTTGTATTATTTTATTATTTTGTAGAATGTACACCATTGGCAGGCTTTTTTATCTATTTTAATCTATTTTATTGACTGTATGTACAGCACTGTGTAAATCTACAGCGCTATATAAATAAAGCGTAATAATAATAATAAGAGATCAGTCTAATTCTACTGCAGATTCAGCAAAAGGCTGACTGTAAAAATCTTGCTTCTTCACATAATTTTATCCTACTGCATTAAAACCTAACCAAAGCAAAGCCTCTCTGCATACATAACACTTGTTTTTGTGAGAAAATGATAAGTTGCAATCTGAGGCTCTACTCTTGAATTCTAACCATTCTTGCTTGGAATCTTGCTTGGAGCAGCTCCAACAAGTGCTATGCTGGGGGGGGGGGAAGAAGAGATAAAGGAGAGGGCCTCTTCAGACACCTTGATCAGTCTCCAAAGTGGTTGCCTGTCACTTTATTAATGGACTTTCTTCCACCATATCAAGAGTAATATTCAGTAAGTACTGATTGGGGGACTTTTACGGTTCCTATATTGCCCCTAAATTATATTCTCATAGAATAATGGAATCATGAAGTTAGAAGGGGTACTATGAGCCATCAGGTCCAACTCCCTGCAATGCAGGATCACTAGCCAAAGCATCCCCAGCATATAGCTGTCCAGTGTCTCATCTCTAGCAACTGTTCATATGCTTTCTGGTTCTGGTCCTGGAAGTTAATATATTCTCATTATATTACTAGTCATTGACTTAGACTAAACTTTATAATGCATCAAGGAGAATGTCCATGAAGTCTCTGTGTGAAGTTCACATCAGTCTCTAATCTAAATTATTTTCCTCCAGGTTGTCACATGAGAAAAAAAATGTTGATCTGTTCCACAATCTGATGTTTTTAAACTAGGGCTGTAGTATTAACTTGAAAGTCACACTAGTAAATTGACTGAAAGTGCAAGGACTAATCAAAGCCTGTTTTCCAATGCCTCCAATGAATGTTCTGCACGGGTATTAAGTCCCTCACTTCTGGACTTTAACCCGGTTCCTCTCCAGAACCATCACTACAACTGTCCCTCTCTGGACTTAACTGTAACTTAATTCCATCCGATGTCATCTGGGGGAGAGACACTAGGCCGAGCACCAT